AGGGACTGTTAGTGCAGTGCACAACACGACACAGCTGTGCTTCTTTGAGGTGTTTACCAAGTGACCCAAAGAGTGACTTCCGCATAGGTGGGTTGATGGAATGTTTGTGGGAAGATGATTAGCTTTTACCACCTACTGCAGAAAAGGCGTAGTTTTTATTGTGATTTTTTTTTCAATTTGTTACCTGTTGACTTCTTTCAAGCTACAACATAAAGCAACCTTTTCAACGGAAAACAAATACCTGAAGATTTGACAGAGTATGGAAGTAGAGACCAAGTAATGCCAAAATTATCACTTGTACTTTTTTTCCAAACACCAGGAAGGGAACCCGTTCATGGATGCAGTCTTCAACGACACGGTTCAGTTCATAGAACAAGACGAGGGACTAGACACAGAAACGTAAGTGTAGACATTATTGACTATGCGAGTCAAGATGAACGTTGAGTATTGAGTCTTGAAAAGCAGAGATGAACTGATGTTGAATAACTTAAAGATATTGCCAGTCCCTTTGAAAAGGCAGAAAGAGGGGTCAAATGTCCAGGTCCTCAGGGAAGATATTGGTTTGCCTCTCTGACGACTGCAGCTGTGCCAAATAGTTGCCATAATGGACATGGCAACCAGCTCTCCGAACGGCTCAATGTAGCACACGACAAAGTTTACCGCAGACGTCTGTCAGTTGAGGCTTGAAGGCACACGTGTTCACCGGATGATGCTTTCTGTGGAGCTGCAGGTGCATTTTGCCAGTCTGTTGCTATCCAAAACCCTGCATTTGGTCATGTGGTTTAGTGATGCTGTATGCATGTTCTCGCTACCGAAAATCCGCGACCAGAAATGTCTTTGGCGATGCTGTACGGTGCATCTCAATGCAAAGCCACACCATGCGAATTGTCGGCCCTTCATGCTTTGTCTGCACCGTTGTTCCATAGGTTCTTCTTGTACGTGTTCCTGGTTGCGCTGGTCGTCCTGCTGGTCGTCGGGGCCCAGCAGCTGGTAGTGTCATTAGGGGTGAGTCAGTCGTCAACCAGTAATGTTGATATAGATTAGACACCAGGAGAAATGTAAGATTTTTCATGTCACAGCGCATAAGTAAGATTTGAAGCTTTGCATGGTGGAGGTTACATGAGCTGTGGGTTTGCAGGTACAGCATGGAAACGTTCTCTGGGGAAGATCTGCGGTTCTAAGAAGAACGTCAGTCAACCCCTTCACGGCGGGATTATTTTGACCGCGACTGCTGGGCTGTGGTATGCCCTGAATGGAGGGCTTTGTCCAGCAGCAGGCCCACATTGAACCAGCAGCTGCATGGTGAATGGACTGTATGTGTGGTAGGCACTAATCCTCACACAATGGTGCGGTAGTAGCAGTCCTCCACAGCAGAGGGGTCAACACTCGCCGGTTCTTCTCAGAATCACACATCTTTTAAAGAGAAGGTTTCCATGGCGTACCCGCCAACCCACTGCTCACAGCACATGCTTGAGTCCGGTAGTTGATAACAGTTTATTTTTGCATTTGTCACGCTGACCCATGTTCAAAAGAAATCCAACCATTTAGTTTAAAACCATCAGTATATGCAGTATACTCAAGCAAACTTTTGGTGCAGGGCGATGATCAGAGTGGGGCAAAGCAGACGAGGCTGTTTTACCCATGGGATGCAACTTACCCCAGTGGGGAAACTGTGGTAGGGCACGTGACGCATGAAGTGAACAGTTTAAACAGTTGAAACACAAAGTACCATATTCGTGATTTCTTAACAAAGTAATCCGTGCGTGGCACCATCTGGTGGCGGCTTTCCACAAGTTCTATAAATTGTTCAGTACATACTCCAAAGTATATTTTGGAGTGGACTGAAAACTGTCCCAAATCCTAATTTGTACTTTTTTTTTTTTTCCTTTTTTTGCAGAAGAAGAGAAAAGTAGCCAAGCCCGTTGTGGAGACGGGCACGCAGAACCACACAGACATAGACTATGACTGGATTCCCAAGGAGAACATTGCAGTCAGTAAGTTGAAGACAGCTGGGCAATTTTTGTCCAGTTCAGATGTCACCCAGATTTGGGGAGCATTACAGTTCATTTTGGAATTCTGTTTTTTTTTTGGGGGGGGGAATACCTTTTTCCTAAGATTGTGCTTTTTGAGTAGGAGTGTTGGAAGTTGACCAGCATTGCCTTGTTGAAATGCCGGATGGTCCTATGCTTTTGGCAGCACGGATGGTATATTCTCCACTTGAACAAAGCAAAATCTCAACAACCGCAGTTAAAGTTGAAGTTGCAGTATATTCCCACTGAGTTTGTACGGAGTTGACTGACTACTGGATGGAATTTTGCACAGCTGCAAACAGCATTGGCGATCTCAGGGAAATCTCTGAGCCGTCATCTATCTAGGTCCGAGTGTCTCAAACCAGACCTACACACACATTGTTTGTTCAACATCTGATGGAAATTGTTTTCTTTACTGTGCCTGGGGCTCTACGCAGAACAGAAAAGTCAGAGAGTCCCAAAGTTGCTCACACGATCCATAGGTCATTTCCAATTGTTTTAAAAATTTTTTTTTTTTTCATTTTTTCCTCTTTACAGAAAAATCGCCCTCGCCTCGCAAGTCCCCGCGCCGACGCACTGCCAAGAGAGCGACGGGGTCTGGGGACGAGTGACATGCCTGGTCACTCAACCCTTGGCCCCCCCTCCCAGCGTAGTCACACTCTCACCAATAGTTGGGGTGAATTTACCTGTTGGGTAACAAACTCATTATCAGTCAACAGTGCGTTAACATGAAACGTGATTTTTTTTTTTTTTTTAATGCATGGACATCACTATGCAAATTAATGATTTGCCAAATGCTTTCTGAATGGTCCCTGAAAATGTGGTCACCATGAAGTCAGTCCACAGAGTGACACAGTTTTTACTGGCCACCAAATTGGCTGTTGCGGCCACTTCATGGATGTTGAACTACAAACGACTCCCGTACTGACTTGTAGTATATCCCCCTCCCAAAAGCAGGGACGAGGAAAAATATGACTGACACTCACCACTACTACCCCTGAGTGGCTGGTATTTGTGTACTAGTTAAGAAGACAATAGGCAGTTGTTTATACTTGGTCACAGCGTGTGCACACCCATGTGCATACATTGTGTGCCTCTCCACCAAGTACCTCTCACAAGGTGTAACCCTGCCCTCACCGACTGTTCACTCAAGGTCAGTAAGGCCACCAACTCCAGTGACTACTGCAGAAGTCTTACTGCTCAGAATTGAGTAATTCAAGCAGTGTAACAGTACAGATACATGTGCGCCTATTTTTCCCAGTTGCCGTGACCGAGAGTAGTCCCCTTGAAGGGGTAGAATTTTCATCCATTGATCAAGATTTGTTGACTGATAATGAACCAGATGTTTTTTATCTCTTCAATTCACAAGCCAAAATGCTTTTAACTCCAATTACATTACTATTTAGCCTCATACAATTTTCTTTCAATTTTTGTGAACCGCACAGTTAGATTTTATCTGGAAAGAGCCTCATGAAAGAATAAAAAACACCTGGAAATTTTATACCTTTGTCCGTCTTGTGTTGTTTTGATAATCGTAGTCCAGCGTAAACATAGATCATTTTGATAATTTAGTAAGTAGCAATTACCCCACAAAGACAAAAAATGTTTTACTATGAAGACATTTTGAAGTAAATGAAGCTGTTTTGCGGTATAACTAAGGCAATTTGAGCAATTGTAATTGAGATGTGGTCAAAACGCACATGTTGGTGCAATCCGTCAGCAGTTGAGCAAGTGATCTGTAGATGAATTTGAGGAGACATGCTATTGGATGCCACACTGGCATTGCCACTTTTTTTTTTTAAAGTCAGGGCACATTGTTGGTTGAAAAGGCATTTGATGCGCGCCTGTGACTTTGGCGAGCATAGTGCCGCCGTGTAGAGGGTTTCCATGGCTGCCATCTTGCAGGCCAGTGCTGTGGCTCTACTGGGTATGCTCAAAGAAATTTTCCCTATGGAACAGAAGAACTGCCCTGCAAAATGGCAACCACCACAAGGCCTCTATAGATGGCTTCTAATTTGTGTCACTTGATTAGCCTACAAATTGATGTACCATTGCATAAGACACGGCACATGATACTTGGGAGTCAATGGTTATATATCATAACATGCCATGATGTCCTATAGGTTGACAACCTCATGAACAGCCAAAATCAGAATGAAAGCACACGCCACCCTGTTGAATTTTGTGGTTACCTCTGCTTTAAGTAATTGGCTGTTCTAGTTTATAGCGGTAGTAATGTCATTAGGAGTGGAAACTGGACGTCTTCGTTTACCCAGCCAATTATTTATTTTGCATTGTGTTAAGAATTTTAATCACAATACTTGATGAGCAGTCAGCATAACTGCTGGTGTAACTGGAGTTGACAAATTCCGTCAATTAACAAATTTTATTCTTCAGCTTCTGTGTGTGCTGTTTGTAGATAAAGTGCTTGCACTACAAACCTCTGAATCTATTTTAAGTTTTTCAGTTTCCAGCCATTGATTTAGAAAGTGGAGGGGAAAAAAACGGAAATTTTGAAGTCAGAATTTTCAAGCAGAAAAACTAGAGGTTGGAAAACTCACATAATGTTGAGGTATAATTTTGAGATATGCCTTGGGCTGTCAGTGTAAGAATTTAAATTTGAGCCAAGGTGTATGAAAGCTACAATAGACGAGCGGAGAGTACTTATTTTTCGGCAGCTTCTCGCTCTTTAGCAGGTGATGGTTCAGACTTAATGCCAGCTGGGCTTGCAAGATTGGTGTCAGGCCATTAATAAGCCTTTGCAAATTAAATTTGAATAAAATCTGTTACACTAGTTCTCTAAACTCACATGAACATAACAATTTGAATTCTTTACACTAAAGACACTGTTGCCATATCTTGTTATTCGGGGCAAGCAGTTGCTTAGTTACATAAGACATGCCTTGCACCAGTACATTGTTGCACAAAGAGCCAGTCAATTCCAGAGATGGTGGTCGCTATGCAAAAGCTTGCCCCATATCATGAGGTATAGCAACAGTGTCTTTAGCCTGGGGAATTCAAATCGTTATCTTTATGTGCAGTCGCATAAGACAGTGTACCAGAGTTTATACGAATTTAACTCTGGTTTATTTTGGACTGGCCAGATCGAGATCATGTTGGCATTTTAGTGTCCATCAATGGAGGCACTCTGTTTGTCACTCCATGGGATAAAAGAACTGAAGTGTGATTTCAGTTAATGTGTGCACTGCTGTCTGAATTTTCAGCTTTTTGGCTTAGTTCTGAAATCAAACATGGCATGCCGTGGAGCTTCCCTAGAGCATTTAGAATGTACTCCCTTCAGATCTGTTGCATGGCGGCCATTTTGACTGATAGTCATGCAAAAAGTTGATAAGCAGGAGACTGTCTGAAAAAGTCTGGTGCTATTGGCGTGTAACTTAATGCAGGTATATATATATACACCCAACTCCATGAGGTACCCAGTCAAAATGGCTGCTTGTAATGTTACACACGCATGCTGTGCAACCAAACTGTTATCTTGTAAAAACTGTTCAATTGAAAAGTCGGCATCATATATATGGAAATTAAGGATCTAATTACAACTGGTAAGCTTGAAATACATTTGAAGTGATAATTAAATTGAACAATGAAGCTGGTCGACTTCGTCAGTTTCACTTCATTGTTTGCTTGATATCAAAGTTTAATGAAGAGAAATTGTTCTGCAATTTGCCAAGCAAAATCTTCAGGTTTAATTTTAAATGTCCTTTTTTCTTTCTTCATTTTTGTGTTTTTGTTGTTTTTTCTCTAATTGGTGGTGGAATTTAAAACATCCGTGCTTTTCTGTTTTGGGTGAAATTTCGTTAGAGGGATTTTGTTTTGATGGTGAACTTGATGAACTAAAGTCAATGTAATTTCCGGTCTATGAAATGTCAAAAATTATGGTACAAGTTGGATAAGTTTAACATGACTCCATTCCTTGCCTTAAATAAAGAAAGAATAAATTTTCTGGAAATGTCCAGATTAATCAACAGGACATTCAAATTTGTGTCTTGATTCTAAGTCAACAGAGCCACAATCGTATTGTGTTCTTTTTAATATCCAAGCCCATATGAATTTCATAGGAGCAACAATACTCAACACGTCACGCCTTCACATCTTTCCTTCTGCCACACCTTTTTCAAGAAATGGGGATGGGCTTTAAACTGGTGGCAATTTGCATCGCTTGCGTAACACGTCATGTGATGTCAACGTGGCCATCTGCCAAAATCTGTTGGCCGTTTCGGTGGTCATTTTTCACCCTCACCGACGGGAAAATATAACATTTGCTGTAAGTCTTTAGATCGTGTTTAATAGGTTGCGTGTATAAAGCTTATGAGTAAGGCAATTGTGGTTCAAAAAAGGTAACTTAAATATAGCTGCTAGGAAAGAATGCTTTTATGACAGCAAAAATTTCCACCCCTTCGCTCATTAAAATAGAACCTTCTGTTGAATATTTATTTCTTCGTTATCTGTTCTCTGATTGGCCTACCGAATGTACCTGTCAATCATTTGTGCTGGATCGTAGTTTGATTGGTTGCTGATGACGTCACGTATGTTGACAACTGGTCAGAGAACGTGCAGCTAGCCGCAATGTTGTCAGCTAGCGCAGCTGATCGTATGGTTAGAGGTCGATCAGTTCACTAGAAACAGAAATTTGCAATACATCAACAATGGCAGAACACGAAATCTCTGTGCAAGGAGCTGTAAATGTCATAGAAAATCCTGGCGTTTCGAGCCAAGATGCCGTGGACTGCTCCGAACCTCCTCTGAAGAAATCCAAAACCGAGGTAGAGGTGGAGACGGAGGAAGTGCCACAGGACGAGGACTTGGAACAGAGGCTGAACGATATCCTTTGCTGCTCGGTTTGTCTTGACCTGCCCGTCAATTTAGTTTACCAGGTGAGAAAAAAATTACGGGTTCCTAGGACCTACATGTAGTTCGGCATGTTTCTTGTCTGCGCTGGATGGGCAGATTCTCAAATTATACTTTCAAAGTAAATTATGTATGTAGTGATTTTGTGTTGAGTGGCCCATGTATTGTTTGCAGTGTGAAAAAATGCCAGCAGTATTGTTGGCTGAAGTCCAACTCAACTGTGACCTTGTTTGGAAGTTGGCACCGTGCCGACTTCGTATAAAATCCCATACTTTGACCCTGGTCCCGTACATTGTGTGAACAATTACATGTACGTGAATATATTAATGAACTTTCATTTACAGCTGCAAGACCATCTAGAGGTGAAAGCACAATCTTTCACACATTTGATACACCATTCCTCGACTTGGGGCCTTTATTTCTTGCAAAATTACCAAGTGGTGAAATCATGTGTAAATTGCTGCATTAGGAATCAGTGACGAAACATCTTTCTATTTAAGGCAAAGTAAAAAACAAAACAAAAAAAGAAAAACAAGCATTCAGGTTTTTCCAGAAACGGGGGGAGGGCTAAAAATTTTATAATTTTTGACATTCTGCTGTCGCTGTATTTTCACAGTCAAAAGACTCAAAACTGAAAGAAATATGTTGAACACCAGTATTAAGATGTAGTAGAGCAAATGGAGGTTCCAACTCACAAGTTTTTAATTTTCTGATGAATCAGGTAATGTTTTGTTCCTTTCGCCTCATTTTTTTCTGAGGTTAAGGAAAAAATCCAGGTGGCCTCAAAAGACAGAAGCGGGCAGAGATACAAAACAAGCTTTTTTTTTATTTAAAGATACTTGTTCCATGGTTTGTAACAGAAAACTAGGGTTGGCCAAACCAAATAACTCCTTGTATGGTTATCTGCTCATGCATGGAGCCGCCGTGTGGTTTCATTTGGATATCATAAAGGCTGACATTCCTCAGGAAGTAGACAGATTGGAAGGGGCAATCACAAGGCATGTGATTAAGAAGAGGTTGCCTTGAAACGTTTGACTTGATGGGGCCCGAAGGGGGTGTGAATGCAAGAGAAGAGAAAACGGCATGAAGGTTTACAGTTCTGAGTTCCAGGTCAGGCAGACGGGGGAACATTTCTAAGGTTTTTTTTATCTAGTCCCGCGCTGTTACCATAAAAAGGAAAATTCTATTTAGTACTAAACAAAACAGGCAAGTGGCCACAAAAATGTGCACCTTGCTGAAACTCTGGCATCGGCTGTTAATATAGAATTTGCCAGCTGGTACTCTGCGGTTGAGGGAACCACAAAGAGGGAAGGATACCCACATGCTCATGAAGGAAGGGTGTGAAATTCTCAGTTAAGGAAGCATGCAAAGAGATTCACGCTGTGAGTGTGTACCGTAGGCACTTTTTGTTCAAGTCGGTGAATGGACCCTATTTTGTGAAGAAGCCATGTTTTTATTATCGTGATCATAAAAATCCGTTCTATCACTGTTAGCTGTTGAATCAGAATTTTTTCAAATTCATGTGATTTATAAGCTTCACTTCCAATTTGTTCCAAATATAGCAAAAAACACTCAAGTATGTTTTCATCTCAAATATGGAATTAATCATCAAATGGAGCAGAACTACTAGTATCCATAATATGACGGGAAATTTCATTCTATTCTCTTATTGATGCTTTCATGTTCCAAAAATGAAGCGTTACTAGTAACTTTTTTCAGTTTCAGCAGGGCTGACTCATGACCAATTAGATCCATTGTCTTGCGTGCTGTACAGCAAGAGTGTGGACGTTGTGCGTGAAAGTGATGGAAAATAGCCCGTTACTATGAATATGCCTTGCGCTTGAGCTTTCCATTGTTTGTCAGTCACAGTTGCCTGCTTCCCCCTTCCCAAAAGAGCTGTGCCTCTTAGCAGTAATGCCCATGACCTTGAGAAATAAGCCCACTTTGTAAAGTGTGCTAAAAATGGCATCGCTGCTCAATACTGCAGGGTTCGTGACCACAGTTTACCAGGTGAGCGAGGAGACTTTGGTGTGATACCATAGTACACCTGCACAGTACACACACTCTTGGTACACATTGCATCAGGCAGCAGATTGAAAGCCACGCCCACAGCCTGCAATCACACCACAGAACACAGGCAGTTGCTGTTGGTGTTGATATGCTATGCCAGCAATGTTAACAATTGCAGTTCATCTGGGTTGAGCCCCAGTCACTATACAATATGGACACAGATGTTTGCTGTCTACATCTCTCCAATATTGCCTCTGTAATGCCTCCCCTTCATACACAAACATGTATATGTACATACCGTCTTTTCAGTGTAATTGTAGAAGGAAGTGTAGAGAAATTAAAATTGGGGAAAACTGATCAATCTAATAATATACCGTCAGACTAGAGAATTTTTATAGATCGTGTCCAATAAACATGAGACTACCGTCCTGAAAGTACCTCTTCACACAAGAGACATCTGTTCACTTTGTATCATCCACAAATCTTGTTTTCGTTCCCCTCAGACATTTTTATATTCTGCATGGCAGTCATCGCAGGAGTAGTTTTTGTTTCGTTAATTACGGCGAATTGATTAGTCATATGTGTCTGTGTGGAACAAAAGCATGGCTAGCCTTGCCTCGAGGTTACCGCCCGATATTTGCTACACACAGACATATTCGTTGAAACCATTAACACATACATCATGTAATATTTGAACTGCAGAGGGGCCAGAAACCAGTCAAGAATTGAACACAAATCCAAAGGAATCAATGCTCTTACAGACTAGAATTGAAACTTCATTACAGTCAATATTTGTAGAAATATGCTGGTCAAAATGATATTTTTGACAATGAGAAAAAAGGATGGAAATGCAGAAAAAAAAAGAATGAAGTTATTGGAACAAGGACCAAAGCACACCCTGAACCGACAGCTGTCGTGAGAACGGTTTGTTCAATCTTGCCACCAGCCAGGGCTGAAGTTTTTTTCACTCACAACACAGGATTCTGCTTGATGGTCACTTACTTCATCGTCCCAGATTGGCACAAATAGAATTAATGAAACTCGTCAGCAGTGTATATGAAAAAAATAATCAGAAGGTCCTTGAAATTGGGCTGAATTCGTCATCAGTAGAGAAGCTGTTGGTGGCTGTGCAGTGTCGAGGTTTTTTGTTTCATGCGAGGTGTTCATTTATGGCACTTTGCTGCCCTAGGCAGGATTTGGCCTTGATATATATGCCGCAAGCAAGGAGGCACAGAATGGCTAATTTACATGAAGGCGTGTGGATTGCATTGTCTGCCTGGTTATCAGTTGAACAATATAGCAGACAAGCAATATTATAACAATTTGAACAAAGATTTATATTCAGTCCAACAAAAAAACGCTGTACTACTTCATCAAGCAAAAGAAGGATTTTAATGCAAATGTGGTAAGGAAATTCATACAATAGTGCCCTTCGTATTGTGCAGAGTAAAAACTGGGAAATGAATTATCAGTGTGGCTTTATTTGATAAAGGAATCATGGACGTCAGCCATTTTCTGACAACAGGTGGTGTTTGGCTGACCAAAACTAATGTGGTTCACAAACTGTCGATGGAAATGTAAAGGTTAAATTTCCAAAAGCAAAATCCTGTCGCTGTACTCTCGTTTTTGAGCTTGACTATGAGGGTGCTCTCATCTGACCTTGATATGTCCCGATCATTAATGATAATGGCTGAAGTAGCATGATCATATGTTTTTGTCAACCACTTTTTGGCCTGATATCATCCACTGATCCTCCATGATTTGAAACATTTGTTTTGAAATCGGAATGTAATTGAGCCATCTTCAATGACTAGGACACCTGTTTACATGAACGTGACCCAGTTGTGCACTTGTTTGTCTTTTTTGCAGTGTGTGAATGGCCATCTGATGTGTGCTGGCTGCTTCACACACGTCCTGGCTGATGCCCGGCTGAAAGATGAACAGTCGACGTGCCCCAACTGCCGCTGTGAGATCAGCCGGACGCAGTGCAGCCGCAACCTGGCCGTGGAAAAGGCGGTGAGCGAGCTGCCCTCACTGTGCCAGCACTGCGCCTGCAGGCTACCCCGCAACGTCCTGGAGCACCACCAGCGCTCTGAGTGTCCGCAAAGGTACAGGCCTTAACCCCCGCTGGGCCGCGTCGTGCCGGCGGTGCCCACACCCACACCGCCTGCGCGACTTTCAGGCAGCCTCGGGTGTGTAGGCTTACCGTAGGGCTGTATCTACCCCCGTCCCTCCCCCCTCACAGTCTGTAACCCCCTCTAGGGCTATAGGGCTAGGGCCGTGCTGTAGGGTTTGGTCGTAGGGCATAGGTGCTAGGCCTAACTCTGTATACTTGTGCCATTCTTGCTCACCCAACTTTGCTTGACCTCCACACAGGGGTATAAAGCTTTGAGCTTGTTGCTGTTTTGATGGAGAAATAAAGCCGGTGGGTACGGTGAGTATAACCTTACAGGATTGGTAAGTCCTATCCCAGAATGGTCACGGTCTTGTTGGGGGGCATGTGTGCAGTCTGGAGACACATATGGTGGCTAGATTGTGAACATATAAACAAAACACAAACATGAAATAAAGATGTTTTTATAAACTCGATCACTGTGCATGTGAAAGGTGATTTTTGTGACACATTGAGAACATGTTAAAGATTGCACAAAAATTGAAAAGCTAACTGATAATTTCAAAAAAAGGAAAAAAAAGCTCTCAGCTATGATGCATGTTAAACAGAAACAGGGTTTTACACATTTTTTGTTTTTTTGTGATGAAACCAAATGTTTCCCAAGCATGGCAATGTATGCTTGAAAGTTGCAAAAACCTATAGATAGATCAAAAATGAAGAAATATTCGGTCTTGGAGGTGCCAGAAAACCCCAGACAAATATGCCGGGGGGAACCCACAGAGTCGCATGTCTACCTGGGTGGGATATGAACCCAGGCCATTTGAGTTGGAAGGCAGGGAAAGCACCGTACCACACACCAACCTGACCCCCTAAAATCCCAGAATGATTAATCGCACATGTATGTAAATCACCCTTGTCAATGGTTTGCATGTAAAAATTGCACCGGATTTCAAGAGGGCCCCTTTAATATGGCAATCGGAACCAGGCCGTCTTCCCAGTTCATGCGTACATGTTCATGTCTGGTGGCTGTAGCGCTGACCTTTACAGCCTTGCAAGCTCTAATACCTGCTTCCTGCTAGGCCTACATGTACCAGACGAAAGCATGCAAGGAAATCTCAAGCCACAGACATCTTGTTTTGTTTTGGCTACAAAAAATGTAAAACCTCAAGCAAGTCACACATTCCGAAGATTCACATGCAATCAATTTTAACGTCAAAGCTGCTGATCTCTCAGCAGTGATTTTTTAGGCCTTTTGAAATTTCGATTCTTTGCAAAAAAAACAGTCAACGATCAATCACTTCAGCCAATTATTCTCATTCCTACAAAAAAATTGAAGGGACTGAGCGGGACATCGAATTTTAAAAATCCTCTTGAACAGAGAAACGACTTATTGTCCATGCCATCAACAGTTGCATGGTTACTCACCTGTTCAGTGACTGAATAAACACGTAAACTTCATGTACATAAAAACTGACAAGGGCAATTGAACTTGTATCATTTGGGCACTACATGTACATGTAGTTGACGAGCCCCATATGAATGTCTGGCATGATGGATGCCTCCATGGCCGGTGAATTTAAGGTTGACTCTGTGAATGAGTACATTTTTGTATGCATAATTTGAAACAAAAAAAGGAAATTCGTCCCGGAGAGAACTACTGTGGGGAGATTTGGCCCAAAAGGAGAAATTCTCACTTCTTGGGGAAAAAAAAGACGAAACCCAATTTAGCCCTGAAAACATCAGCTGATGAGTTTTATTTTTCTGTTCTGTCCTTGTTTTTATGAAAGTGCATAATACGTGTACACAGGAAAAGTACATACATGTACATGATAAATGTGAAATTGTGCATGAGAAACATAGAGTTCTTTATGGACATTTGATAAAGCTCTATGATAAGAAATGAATTGTCCAAATAACTTCAAAGTGCAAATTCAGTATTCTCTATTGCAAAATGTCACGTACATACCTGTACATAAAGCCATGCACACTGTAGGAAGTGGCAGGCCCTTGACATTAGCATTATTTTCATCTCTTGGAATCAGTCATGCATATTTGCGTGTCACCAGGGGTGTGTTCCAGACTGTGCAGTGCTTTACCAATGGGCCGTGAGCAGACTGGTGACTGACACGTTGTGCCTTCATGTCTCAGTACAGCCAGCATTAAGCAAAAAAAAAAACAAAAACAAATTAGAAATTTTTTCTTTTCCCAGATCCTATTGCCATTCTTGCAAAACCCAAGTACGTGTAATTATTAAGCAAAGGCAGTGTTGCATAATTTACTCGCAGTTTTGGATTAAATCCTTATGTCTTTAACACATTTATTCCTTTTCTTGATGAAATCTGCTCTTATGTCTATGTACATCTACATGTATCTGTGCATTTTGATCAAAATTGATAATTCACAAATAGTGCTAAAAATGAATATCTTTTGGCAAAGTCTGTGCTAAATCACCTACTTTTACATGTACATGACATATCTGACGTTGGATCCACATTTGTAAAGCAGATTTGACCCCAAAAAAGTCACAACTTTGCACTGACTGGTCAGTTCGGAATGATTTTTGAATCATATACATTGTACATTGTATGTAAAAAAGAAATGTATTTTTTCCTTTGGAAGATTTTTGGAATTTATTTTTGGTTACATGCATGTAAAATGATATTAATGCAAAATTCAGGACACACAGTTGGATAATCATCAACATGTCAACTATGGTCCCTTTAATTAAAGGACTTTTTGACACTTTCTCTGAATGAGCCATTTTGAATTGTGGCATTTTCAAATTGAAACCAGTGTTTGAAGCAATGAAGTATGGAAAAGTGTGATTTTTTTTTCAATTTGGGTTGAATTGGTCCTATGACAATATTTTTTTTGAAATTTCAGTGAGTTTGCACAGAACGGCCTTGATGCAACCCTCCTGGCTGAATGGAATATATCAGAAAATGGATTTCCAGTGAAGACATTTCAGTAAAGTTCAGGGGTGTTCTACAACTATGGCATGGCTAGATTTGACCTGTTACTGCCCAAAGTTCTCCCTGAAACAGTCATAAGTATGCCAAATTCGCCTCCACATTGGGAGCAATTTTGAGAGTACTTTTGTGGCAGCTAGCCTGAACATTCTTTTCCTGTTGTTCATCCAAATCTCTGCTCGGTCATGACTGCTTCTGAACATGGAAGAGCCACGAAGAACAGAATGCTGCGCCAGTTGCTACATGATCTGCGTGTAATAAAAAGCCGGGATTGGCAGCTGAAGAAATGAGCCGCGTTAGGCCAGTAGTGATTGGTCAGATGATTGCCAATAGAGGACAAACACTCCCAACAATGATACAAGCAAAACTGCTGGACATTGTCAGTTCATTCCCATCTGGCCGTGTTAAAATGAGTACATGCACCACTGCCTCCTCTTTTTTTTCAGCAGGACTAAGAAATTAGTCTTCCCCAGAAGACTGAATACCGAAGATATTCAGATCAAGACAAAGAATTTCACTTGGAATGCCAAATTTGATACTGTCTAACATGTTCGAAGTACTGAGATATATTCACAAGGTACAATGTGTCGGTCTCATTAATTTGATAATGCCTGCTATTTTTAATGACAGAGCGCCGTGGAAACCCGCTGATACACGCAAGACACAAGAAACAAGATGTCGCTGTCATTTTGGATTCTCACACAGTTGTCATCAGAGACTGAACACGTTGAAATCGCACCCGTCATGTTATGAAATAATGGACACGTGAACCCGAACAAGCCTACGCAGAAAGTGAAAAAAGAAAGCCCAGTTAAACTTGGAAAAGCAAAATGTTATCCAAAGCGTTCATCATTGAACTGTTCAAAACAAGTCCCACATTTAGTGAATTGGATGGCCCAGAAAAGAATCATGAATCCCTGGAACTCCCTTTCCTTGAAGCTGGAGTTTGGTGCGGAGAACATCACCTGATCGATTGCTTTGCAAGTTGATGGTTGAAGGTTGAAGTTCTACCTTCTGCCAGCTGGCTTTACCTTCCCTGTTATCAAGGGTGAAGCAGGAAGTCAATTTTGAAGAGAAAATGATCCAACAGAAAATGTTATGTGAGAAATGGAGCTTGATGCATCAAAATGAACTTGCCCCCTTTTTCACAGACCTGTTTCAATACGAAAGAGCTGAGTTTAGCTGGGCTTTGGAAACCTAACATTGCTATAAGAAGTTTATTCATTGTAATTGTTGAAAGTTCTTGGAGTTTTCTTGGATTTTCTTTTCTGTTTTTGTAATGTTCCTCTTCTAAATAGGCAACAATCACCGATAAGAGACGTAAAAATTGCTGCCGAGTTGCTGCAAGACAAGTGTTAATCAACACAGTTGACATGAGGAACTCTGGACTGAAATTGAGCGAAACAATGAAACACATTATTGATAATTAGGAATCGTTCTGCAGGATCGCGTTTGAAGAGTTTGTTGTTTTTCTCGTTTGTGCTGCAGAAGTTATGTGAAGACACCAACACGCATAGTACCATTGAAATCAAAACACTTCAAAATACCACAGTGCAACTAAAACTCATGTACCAGTTTCAGTCCTGACCTCACTAAGGTTGTATGTTTGCTTGTAAACACATCTACGTTTACATGCAGTTCGTGCCTCATTCCTTCAAACAATGCCAAAGCTCAGACGAAAGCACAACTCACTGATGACCAAACATTGTGACGCTGAGACGCGTGTGAAATCTTTGAGCTAAACTATTTCTTTTTCGTTTCCTCTACTACCAAAAAAAAATTCCCTCGACTATTGAAAAAAAAATCTCAGAATTTCCAAGTGTGGGTACGCGTCCATTGGCTGTCTGTGGAAAGGTCCCAACCGGGAGGTCAAAGGGCATGAGAAGGACTGCGAGTACCCAGGGAAGACCGGAGCCGAAGTCTTGGCCGCTGTGGAAGAGTCCAGTCGGACCTACCAGTCGGAGATCAGGAACTACCAGAGGATCATCGACCTGTTGTCCTTTGAAAAGCTGACTTTCAATGGTAAGCTTGAAGATGATGTTACACACGTGGGTTCACTTGTCTGAGACCTGCGCATGCAGCAAACTTTCCTTGTCAGGAATAAAAGATGAGCTATATGATGAGGCTGGCCAAGGAAAAAGCATTGAACCTGTTTGTAGTTAAAATGTCTGAATGAAATGGAATTACCGGCAAAGTACGTATGACATCAGATCAAACGTAGATGCCTACCTTTCAGTGGGATGTAAGCAAGTCCTTACAAGCTGTCATCCTAGTGAATTTTGATATTATCAGCATTCCCCTCAAAAGCTTCTAAGAGATTACTTGGTTTTATACATCATGCAAATTTATGAATGTGGTTTGTATCGGACGGTACACGTAAGTGGTGCAAATGAAATGATTAAAAAAAACAGAACTTGTCAAAGATATCAACGGTAAAATCCAACTAGAAGTCTATGATTATGTTGGCCTTGTGTCTTGGAAGGTCCATCACAATTTGTCTTGTCACAGGTTAAGTCACAGTCTTTTGAACCACAACAAAGGCATTCCTTTGTAGAATTTATGATGGACTTGGTTATTGCAGTGCTAATGATTGTCATTGTGGCCTCTTGAATATTTACAACTGTAACTCTGCTTTTCAATCCCAGATTTGCAGCTGCGCCCGTACCGCACCGACGACTTCATCACCAAACTGTACTACGAGACCAGCCGCTTCACCGCCCTCAATCAGCAGTGGGTGCTGAAGGCGCGCATCAACGACAGCGAGCGCAACCCGCTGCACTCCACCGAGCGCCACTTGACCTACCAGCTGCTCCTGAAGAGCCGCATCAGCAACCCGCTGGCCTTCCACTTCATGCTGCTGGGTGGGCCATTCACCGACGTCAAGGTGCGGCCCGAGGTGTACCGCTTTGAGTTCACGGCCGACCGCACCGAGTCGCCCCACCATCTCATGCCGCTGGCCAATCAGGGGGACGGCAACAAGCTGCTCTCAGCCAAGACCATCAATGTCAGACTACTGTTGTTCCAGGTGCAGAAGTAAACGACCTAATCAAACCGGCCTAGGTGTCGATATATCTGAAACTGATCTATTAAAGATGATTTCAGGTCGTCAAGGCCGGTATATATTCTGCATTGCTTTCATCTGTGCGTGAAATTTAACAAATCATATTTCCCAACAAGACTAAGTCTGACGTTGATGGTTGTGAAATTTTGTCTTGGTACAGCAATGCAAACAGGTTTTTTCTGTTTAAAGTGATGCAACCAATTTGCTATGTATCAATGTGGCTGTTCAGAGAAGAAACATCAAATCTGGGGAACATAAAATTGGAAATGGCTTCCCCTAAAACCTTTTCTTCAGGCTGACCAATTCACTACTGCAAAAGCAGTCGTCAAACTCAGTGTTCCTTTATTTTCACACATGAAGGAACTGAGACCATACTTTGTTTTGACCTGTCCTGGCTCTGTCCCGGATTTTGCAGAACAAATCCTACAACCAGGACTATCAGACAAGTGTAACGTAAGGGCAGATCCAGAGCCAAATTTTTTTTGGGGGGGGGGATTGTTTTGGGAGACCAAAAATGTTGGAAATTTTTCCGTGTGACCCTTTATTGCCTATCCTGGGATTGAGGATATATATTCAGATATATATTCAGATATTTGGGATTTTGTACACAATTTGGAGGAAAGAAAAATGAAATACAGGCCCCCCCCCAAAAAAAAGCCTTTCTGTTTAATTTTTTTTGTCTTTAAACTTTGTTTAGTTTGGGGGAGGGGAGCATGGTCCCCATCAGCGCCCCCTTCCCCCAAATCCGCCCTTGATGTAACATGAGCATATCCACGTGTTTGAAGTTTTACATCCGTGGTCATTTATGGCAACTAAATCTTTGCCTTGTGGTTGAAACTTGTCTGCCTAATTAATGTGCTCTGCATGAAAACCAGATGGGACCAACAACAAAATACGAAGAGCTCAATGCAACAGGTAACATACAGTATACGTTCCAGTTCCTCTACCTTCAGGGACTGGATTCCCTGTGTTGGAGGTAGCCTTTGATGCCCTCACAGTCCTATGGATGTTAGTTTGAACCTCCCCCAAATTTAAATTGACCTTTGACACAGCAGTCTATTTTTTGTGCTAGTCCTGTTGGAAATTCTGCTTGCTGTTCGTCTTCTATTTATAGTTAACGGAGTGTGAGGTATAATTTGCATACAAAGTGCTGTACCAGCCTGCAGAATAAGGTTCCGGCGTTTCTTGTAAAAGCAACACCCACACAGCCAGTGGTCAAGCCAAGATTTCCTTCCTTTGATTCAACGCACTGGGTCACCAGGGTAGTGCCACTTTTGTTTTCAAAGACTTCAAATACCTCGTGAATTCTAATTTTTTGATAGACGAATGCTAATTGGGCACCCAAGCTATTTTTGAAGCGCTATAGAGTCTGTAAAATGTATATTTAGGCAACATGAGATGAGGTTGAGATTGTAATCTTGTATCATAGTTCAAACCCAGTCCCCTTGTTTAGAGTCATTGGTTGAAGTCTGGTCGCAAGATTGTTTGCGTACAAACCAAAGAGGTTTAACACGTTGACTGCTGACTTCGAGTATACTTGTGGAAAATGAAAGGCTTTTTTGTATTGCAAACTGAATACACCGGCATCACCAGAAACATAACAAATACGCTGCTGGCAGTGGTGAGGGTATACATCTGTAAAATGCTCAAATTCAAACAGACTTATTAACCACTTCGCACCGGGGTTCCCGGTACCGGAGACACGGTGTGTGGCTCACGAGTCCAGGGTGGCCAAAATTGGAACTTTCCAAAAAAAAATGAAATTACTGGGCGTTTTAAAAAAGTTTACTTGCTGTCAGTCAAGGCAATTCCGTCAGTGGTTTGCAACAGTAGATTCCCTGGACTGGAAAACGGGGCCTTTATTCATGGCCAGGGTGACCGAACTTGGAAGCAAAGGACAGAGCTGCTGGGACTTGCCAATGAATTAAGGTTCATATGCTGTCAGTGCTGTGCGGGTCATTAGCATACGTAATCTGTCATTTAAATACGGCTTTTGCCCTTACCCAACATGTATTTATATTTAAATAATCCGTCATTGTTTTGAAACAGTATCATTGTTTGGCACTGCCAGCGTCAGCAGATTGTGAGTGTGGACAGATTAGCGATTAGCGACACAATACCGCTGAGCGCTCGTGGAATCTGGCCGCATTGTGCAGCGGTCAGTGTGCTTGCTGAATGGCCTGGTTCACCCTCATGGCCCATGCGCTCTGCATAGCAACACCGGCCGTCCAGCGTCGCAACATAGTAGGCTAATTCTCGGAACAAAGAGGAAATTATGCGACACAGCCATGTCGCATAATTTTTGCATAATGAGGGTTCTTTACTGGCCAGCATGCTTGGCTGCAATACTCACACCTCAGTGGAGGTTGCCTGTCAGGTTAGAGTTGCCACAGGACAGTCATTCTTTGGGGTGTATGCATGCAGTATATGAACATGTGAATTTTGAGGAATTTTGAAAAAGGAAAAAAAAAGAAATATTGCCCAGCCCAGCAGCTTGAACATGGATAATTCGGCCTGGCACGAAGTGGTTAAATATGTGCGCATGCAGGCTTCACTTGGCAAATGGAAACACCCTGTAAAATTATGTACAGCAGTCAACTTGTTAATCGCATGAGTCTTACATGTAAATAACTTTGGTCCAGTCGAGGTCACCCAGGTTAAGTTTGTGTTGCCACCCAGTTGGGGTCTCAAGTCACTGTGGTCAAATCAAAAGCCCTACTGGTCAAGTCAAGTCTTGAGTCATTCAGGTCAAGTGTCAGTCATCAGGTCTTGTCTAAAGTTTCACTGGTCGAGTCTTGACTCACGTTGGTCAAACCTCAAGTCATTTTCTCCAGTATCTGTCATCAAGTCTCATTGGCACTCAGGTCTAGTTTAAAGTTTCAATGGTCGAGTGTAGACTCGCACTGGTCAAGTTACTGTGGCCATAGCTTTAGCAGCTAGATTCAAAAGTTCTTTCCAGTCTTAAGACCAGAGGTTAATCAATGTCAAACGCAAATTATAAGAAGTTATATATAACATGAGTAGGAATAAGTAATGTATTTTAATCACCTATATTCTATCTGAAATTATCACCAATGTGTAACATATATGTAATGCTTAAAGTAATGGCTGTGTGTAATATGTAATATAGACTAATGATTTCATTAATGTTAATGGGGCATTTTTAATTGTCACACCTGTGTCTTGGATACTGTCTGTTTATTGGCCCAGAACGATCACATAAGAGAGCGATATATCTGCATATCACACTCATCGTGAGATTTATCATTCTGCCAATAGTGAGAGCACGTGCAGACAGAAGAGCTCTGGGAAGTAGAAGAGCTCCGGGAAGTTGGTGAGCAAACATTTACGCTCCTTTCGTTAGGATATGTTCCGCACTCGTAAAACAGACTCGTTCCTGTCCCCGCAGCAAATAATATAATGCGGGGACCACTAACCAGACTACATGTACTCACTGGTACCCGCACTTATTTCGCATTAAAGTATACGGACTTAAAGACAGTGAGGGAACAGTGCATTTCCAGACGATACCGTGTACGTCTGTTATGTTAATTAGTCGGTGTCCAAATTACTTGGCTATGGCTTGAAATTACACGTGACTGCATGGGAACTGGCCGTGGCCACTTCCATAGACTTGTGTGTAATTTTAGGCCACAGTCAAGTAATTCGGACTTGGCCTTATACAGTTTGACAGTAGGCCTACCGTCTTCTGAAATTCAGAGCTAAGGCATTGGAAGACAGAGGTATGACAAAACCATTGTTGATCGCTTTGGTGTTGGATATGACAGTTTGAACACCCTCGGGCACGCATAGCGCCCTCGGCTTCGATCGCCTTGGGGCACTATGCGTCCCTCGGGCATTCAAAATTTCACATCCCACACTACTGGAGTCAACAGTTGTTAAATGTGTCACTTTTCCTAAATCAGAGCATTTTCCGGAAAGTGAACATTCAAATTTAGAGAAAAAAAAACACGGAACCAATCGTGAACCATTATGAAGTACACTTCTGATGCCTTGTGGATTATTGCAATGAGAGAAATAAAAAAGGTAATTTGTAATTAAAAACAGTGAAAAAGATAACATAAGAAATACCCCTTCTTGGTTCAGATAAATTTTATTATCAATTTGTAAAAGGGTTATTTAAAGATTATTTCATTTTTGTATTTTGAATTTGGACAAGAGTCTACTGGTAAATAGTATTTTTATTCTGGTGGGCCTAATCGGTTTCCGGTCTCGTTTCTCATGCAACTTTGCTTTAAATTTGGCCTGCCTTCCTCTGTGTCTCAAATTTGCCACTGTTATTTGCCATATCCTATCAAAATTTTAAGTATTCCTTGATTTGGTGTCTACATGTATCTTTCACTTTCTTCTCTTTCTTGTCTCTATGGAAACAGGTATTAGCTCTTTGGAATAAAACTTGTAAATAAGTAGCTCCATCCATGCAAATCAATGTGTTGTAGACATAATGTACAATGTATCTTTAAATTTTAACAGGAAAAGAAATCAAAATTTTTAAGATATATTTTTCTGTGGAAAAGCATGCTGTGGAGAATCAAATTTATCCCAAAATGGATGGTTAAAGTGCAGTATTGAGCAATAACTGGTATTTTGGGCTATGTGGCCTCCATCTCGGTATCTAGGGTAATTCAATGACCAGAAAAAGGCCAAGTCTGAATTACCTGTACTTAGCTTTGGCCTGAAATTACACGTAGGCCGTAGCCAGTTCTTGTAGACTCTTGTGTAATTTCAAGCCACAGCAAAGTGATTCGGACGCGGCTGTAGAAGCCATTCCATTAAAACATGCCTGTGAGTTGCAGTGCCATCGCAGCAATGGCGTCTCCTGTGATTGGGCTATTGTCTCCTTGCAGAGACAGCAGAGGGCGTACTTGGACCTACGCACAAGGGCCGACCAGGGGTGCAGTGTTTGGTTGGGTGAATCAATAACTGGTGAAAATGGTTGATCATAGCTTATAGCCTCTCAGAATTAGACAAATACATTTGTGCACCCATGCACAAAAGGATATGATCACTGTTCAGAGTAATATGCCCCAGTTTCATGGCTGAAGGCATGGAGGTGTATGACATGCAGAAAGTATTTAAAAGAGCCCCTGGTGCCCACTCTTGCTGGTAGGACGGCCCGTGGTTATATATGTACAGGTACAGCTATGGTGCTTGTCATAATATGCAAGAACAGAATCTTGGTTGCCACGTTTTATGGGACTCGGTGTCACATTTCTGTGAAACTTTCTGTAGTAGTCTGTTAATAGCATGCATAGAACAAAATCCTTGGATAGGGCAAATTTGGTCTGTTTTTCTTTTCAGTAGATCTGAATAAGGCAATAGATTTGCATCGGGGACAATCCTTGCTTTTACAACGCCTCTACGTTTGTTTCACTCAGTTTTCTTTTCGTTTCTCAAAAGGTGCGCATCAGTCCCAAATTACCTTGGCAACCTGTATTACACATCTACACAACTGAAGGAATTACTGGAGTCATTTTAGGGAGAATGTTGCGGGAAAATGTGAAATTATAACCAATTTTTGCAGTTTTTATGTTAAATACATGCACTGTAGTAGCAGGGTACAAAAAGTAAGGGGCTTCCTCACCTGGAGGTTGTCGGAATTGTTTTTTGTCACTGCTTTGCACTATTAAGGAACTGCCTAGTTTGTCTATTCCCGCAATCCTGTCCCAGAGTTTCCCCGGAAAGCAGCGGGTAACACCTGGAAAACACAAATTAGTCAGTTTCCAGGACATATGCAGCAAGGTATGAGACGGAGAGAACCCCCCCTGCTTTGTGTTTGTCATTGTCTCGCAGGAATCTGGGGAATTCCTTTCAGACATCTTGGGGGGGGGAATGTGTTAAGTAACNATATGCCAGGATGACGCTGTGCTGAAGTCCCCTTTCTAAAGAAAATGGTCATATGGTTCAACTTTTTGAGTCTGGAATGTGTCAAAGTACCAGACCACTTCCTATGCGATACTTCAATTTCTCACATCACATAATGGTAGTGAAATAAATGTCCATTACAAGTAGATTTAATATAGAGAATCAAAAATGAAGGGCATTATATTAATAACATTATTAACCTACATGTATATTTGAATATTTATTACGAAATGTATTTATCATTTCAATTTTTTCTGTTTTCAAAAATTTTTTATTCATTTACATTATACCTGTGATGAAAGGGTTTGTTTGATTGACCTAAGGATGTGGAATATTGATATCGATGAGTCAGTTTGATGCAGGTGAAAAGAAAAAAAACAAGAATCCATCTTAAAGGTTACTGAAAATTGGCTGTGGACACTAACCAAAGCATGTAAATTATATAACTTGCCCTAGTCAAAAACATTGAATTCAGAGATACCTAATTATTATGTCAAACTTTTAGAGTTGTCTCAGAGCTTGAAATGTTGGCCTTCTTTGTGCATCTCAACCAGTGTTTCTATTCTGTCTGTTTCTTTTGGCGAAAGCTGCATGATGGAAAAAAATGTTTAGGGGTTGGGTGGTGGAGTCTTGGAACACTAGGAGTCCTCCCCATCCATTTGTTGCATTTTCTCAGACATAGTCCAATGACAATTTTTGTTCTGGCCCTGCTCCCTATCGATTTGGCCGAGCGATTTGTGAAGACAAGCTTTCTCATTTTGAAACATGCACCCTGAATATTAACACTGATATTTGCAGTGGATGTCCATTGCACATTTTATGCAGTTTTTTGGTGAGATTTTTTTGGGCACTTATAATGCTTGGCATGATCTGAAGATATCTGTGATTCCACGGGAAAAGAGCATTGATATGACTACATATTGCAGATGTTGCTATGTTTGCCGTGTATGGGGGCTTCCCAGAAATCTTGACTTTCAGTATTAAAAGAATAAAAGCCAGAAATGTACGGGGGAAATGAGATGCTTTGAACAAGTGTTGATTCGTTGTTGTAAAGTTTGTCTTTTTCCCCAGTTGATTTAAGTTTCCTTTTGGTCATCAAGTGAGAAATGCACACATATCGAAACTGGATGGCTAGTTGCTGGTGCTTATTCGTTTTCAGCACACCCACAGTACGAGGAAAACGCCGGCAACAAGAAATGCACGAATAGAAACCTTGATGCTGATTAAATACATATATTTCACTTTACAAGCTGCACTTTTGTGCAATGAAGATGGGCCTTTAATCTACTGCTATCAAAATTCTATCAAAAGTAGCCTCTAAGAATACAGCGTGAAGACGGGAGTTTTGTCATGAATGGTTTCAACTAGTCTTTTGTATGCAATAATGAAAACAAAACTTACACAGTTACATGTACAATATGGAGTTACATTACATCAATATACTAAGACTCCACTCTCCTGGCATCTTCATTATCAAAGTGTGTAACAGGTCAACACTGTCAAAAATGAAAGCTTGTAAATGACACAAACCTAAACTAGTGAAAACAGTCATCACAGCTAAATGCAAACAAAGAAACACAAATTCAAATGTGGGTTTTTATACTTGTAACAAGCACTTCAGCAAAAAGGAAACGGTAATGTCAAAAATTTTGCAGACTATCAGAGTGACTTCAATGAAGTGTCCAACTTCAAACGAGTCACATGTATTCTCAAACTATGAAATGTCCTCTCCTAAGTGGCCATATTTGGTTTGCCTTTTTGCAAATATTGGATGTCTTTAGACTCGTGACTAGTCTATGGTTCCTAAACGCTCCTTGGTTACCAAATCCGCTTTAATTCTGCAGTGTTCAATGAGATTTCCACCCTTACGCAAGTTACAATTCCTAAATTGTTTCTTCCCATGAACCCTCTGTTAACAAAGTCAGCTGAAAAATCTAATCTGCCCCCTCCCACCGTATTTACAAACCTGTGACTTCACTAAACTTTGAAAGGACAGGCCTGTCCTGAATTTATGAACATTTTTCATGAGCAGTTCTGCTGTCATTAAGTAATGAAATCGTGGCATGCCACTTGTTTCGAGCACACACACATGAACACATGTAGCATGGAGATTCTGCGCGTATAGTAAAGTGAGCCTTAAACCTTGCTTACTGACATTAAGCTGCATGAAAGTTGAAACTAATCAAGATGGCTGCACTGTTCTAAGGAAATAAGAACAATTTCAGGCATTGGAAGACTGAGCAAGAACATGTTGCAATCAACTGATCAAAACTGAACAATTCGATCTTTCTGTGACTTTCAAAAATTCAGTTGTCCTTGTAATACACGTGAGGACTGGCATATGTGAAAGCTCGTAAAAACACCACATTGGCGAAGGCTAGCAGATAGTGAAACCAGTCAACGCGCAGAATGCTAGCCAGCTCTCCTGTTGTTCCAACCGCTGCTGCGATACCGTACAAAACTGCTGCCAAAATCCCAAAGGGGTTGGTGTGAAGGATGCTGAAGACACCGATGGAAACAACAGCCGCAGAAGACACCGCTGACACCAAGAACTCCTCTGTCTGCATAGAGAGAACGTCTGTCACCTTTGACAGACAAATGAGTGCTAACGCACTGCCCATGTGCACGGCGGACATGACCGAGTTGTCATACCGCCGGTGGAACCCACTAGCCACTAGCGATGTTCCAAGAATGGTGGTCACCCAGGCCATGGCCTGGTGTAACTGGAGGACCCCGGGGGAGGGAGAGGCACGACTGAAGCGGTAGGTCCCGCAGCTCGCTACTGCTCCCATCAGGGCAAAGCCAGCCGAGGCAAAGATGTTCTGGCGCAAGAGGGAGATAGCCGTCCCGAAAGATGTCAGTGCAAGGACAAAATCCGACACTGCCGAGCTCATCTGCTGCATGTTGCTCATCTGCTGGGCAAACTGGTTTTCAGATCTTTGAATGTCTGACCAAGTAATACTTGGCCCAGGTAAGGTAAAGCCTTTTGTTAGGTCTTTCTTGTTGTACTGGAAATGCAACTTGAATTTTTCCGTTGGCACCTGCAACAATACAAAGAAAAGAAACCAGTTATGTTCAATACAACCATACAACTGAATCCATCCCCATAATTATCATTAATATTCCAGGCAATGGCACCAGCCTGAATTTTCTCAATAACTCAATATAGATCTAGTCTGGAATCCACCCATCATGCACGTCCCACAAAAAGATAACAGACCACTGCTGCGGCCTCGATCGCCTCAACGATCAGCGAGATTGATCATGTTGCTGTAATTGTCTTAAACAATTCACCCTGACGTGCACAAACTAAATCAAAACCCTGCGGCATGTAGGCATACCACACCAGACGCAGAAGATCATGTGAAGCTGCCGACTGATTTGCGCTGCATGCATGGGGGGATAAACGAAATCGCGAGAGAGCCACGAGAAAGTGTACAAGTTGAATGTTATATCGCCCTCATCGATCCACAACTAACTTAACGCACGGGATTTAACCAATTTCGGCTTCATGTTGTAATTTGCCCAATTTTTACGCCTGATTTCGTTGAATTTACGTTAGCACAAACAGATCCCCCTAGTCCATTTTTACTAGACAAGAATCCTACTATATTCTGTTGATCGAAAAATGCTGAAGTATTTTTATATCATTCGAGCGCTACTAGGCCTAGTTTGACCCCAACGGTGAATAAACAGCCTCCAACAGAACAAAGCCGAGTGCCGGAAAACCTCTTCACTCCTCAGACTTCGGCTTGCGAGCGAAGGCGTACGGGACGAGAGCCGCGCGGATGACCTAGTTGCAGTCACGCGGAGAGCGTGCAATCGCTGACACAAAAGGCGGGTC